CTCAAACGCGTCAAATCCGTGCCGGCCTTTATCTCAACACTCGAAGCTTTATGCGAGTACTTGGTGGTAATAGAAGCCCGTTTGAGGTCAACAGTGAGTGAGCTGGATTAACGCCGCTTTGAACAGTATTCCGTTATATCACGGAATGTCAGCCTACTGTCGAGATGAAACCCGAAGTGATGCAGGTCTCAGACGTTTACCACCCTCGTCACACACAGGAGCACGGGTATGGTGCTGACAAACCAAGAAACATGATCGGGGCGAACCGGGATTCGAACCCGCATTCACAGCGGTTTCTTCCGTGTATCTAGCTTCTTAAAAAAATTTCATCTCAGAGAAATGCGGCGCCTTTTTAAATTAGACGACATGGCCACCCTTGAGAATAAATACTAAACATTTTTTAATGTAGGGTGTTGATGGTCTACAAAATAACTCTAGGTGTTAAGTGCTATCCTGTTACAGTTGGTTAAGGGTAAAAGCGGCGTAAAACCATACTCACTCATTCACTCACACTGTATTAATTAGGTGAAACAATAAAGTGCTCATTCATGTTTTTGTCTTCAAATATTTTATTGTAAATTAGGAGATAAACATACTGTGTTTTCAATGTAGAGCTAGGTTACCTGTAGATTTAACCCCGCTAAATTGAATTTGGAACCGAACGCGCAGCGTGAGGTTTCAAATGTTAAATTTAGCGCGGTTAAATCTACAGGTAACCTAGCTCTACATTGAAAACACTGTATGTTTATCTCCATTCTACCATGACTAAATAAAACGCGAACTCTTTGGTGTTAGCAAATATACTGAGTGAAGCGGCATGGGTTGAGTTCAGTGTTTTGAGTGGGTAATTATCGATCTGAATTACGGAATCACCGAACAAAATATGGTGCTGTATATACTCAAGCAGTTTGTTTACACCGTAATACTTCACTCGAACATATGACAGGCATTGAAAGCATATAAGCACGGCAACTTGGTAAGCTAACATGAGGTGAGCATCCCTAAAGAAAACAAAGCAAGCTTTGCAAGGCTTTCGCTCTACATCGCGCGTCACCATTATGACGTCATATCGCTCATTGTGACGCAAAAGATATGACGTCACAGTCGTATATAGAAAAGCGCCAAAATTTCAAGCTCTCTGTTGTCTCCAAAACGTAAATACATTCCCTTTGTTGATTTCTGTCGGTTTTTTCTGCACGAAATGTATGGCACATTCTTTGAATATTGTAGTAACCGCATCTGTGCATTTTGTAACCTGTAATTGTAGATATAGTTATTTAAATATGCCTACCGACAATGACTGAAAATAGTACTATTCTATGAATATTAGCTTCCGCGGTGATGCGGCCGTCAAACCAGCTGTTTCAATCAGAGGGGGTTTATTGTGATTTAATAGCCTCTGATTGACCAATCAGAATCGAGTAAATTCCAAATTCATGGTAGAATAATCATTTAATTGCATGTATTTGTCCTTTGATCAGATTAGTTTTTAAAAAGAAAGGAGTGAGTGAGTGAGTATGGTTTTACGCCGCTTTTAGCAGTATTCCAGCAATATCACACCAAAAGGAAAGGATCTATAGTAAGCTCCATGAGTTGTTTTTTCCAATCCATCGGGTAGTCTTTAGTCAATAAATATGTTTGAGTCAGCCAATGCCTCGAGTACACGAGTGGTCTAGCAGATTAGCTTCCTGTTTTGAGGAGATGAGAAATCCATACATGTCAGGGTCTACGGGTCGTGGGTTCGAATCCAAAATCCGTCCTGATTATATTAGTCTTGGTTTGTTTGCACCACACCTGTGCTCGTTGGTGTCACAAACACCAAAACGTCTGAGACGTGTTTTACTCCAAGTTTTCTTCCAACGTACCTTCTGCCATGATACAACTGAAATAACGGAACCAAACTCTTATACTCACCTTGACGCCGAACCATATACATATTGCCACAATGCCTATTGTAATACAAATAGAATTAAATTTGAGAATATAAACTTGTAAATTTCAGACTATTAGAATGCCCATTTATCAAACACGTACTCTTTGAATCCATGCAGCGCTGAAAACAGATCACTGGAGATTTGGACAAAATGACAGTGACCCCGACGTGATTTGAACACGCAACCTTCTGATCTGGAGTCAGACGCGCTACCGTTGCGCCACGAGGCCCAGTTGTCTATCAGTGGGTTCTAATGAGCTGAATCTCTAACAGCAGACTCCATGCCCATTTCCATGTTGATGTCATTTCGTGATGAAATGCGATGGAGAAAGGGAGGTAACTCTCAAATCAGTTACGACTTCACGTTTTAGATATTTTAATGGGGATGCCCTAAAGGAAATATTTGATTAGGATCGAGTCCGTATCTGTCACTTGGTTATTTTTACATCCCCGTTTTTTCTGATGTTGATGTGTTTCGTCTCAATGGTGTCATGGTTATTGTTTCCCTATTATTTAACAGTTTAATAAATAGGGCTAATGATAATGGATAAAAGGTAATACTATTTACTGACTCAACGTGTATATGGCGTGCGCCTTTCGCAACTGCATCAAGAACATCCGCGAGAAAATGAGTTCTGATGCTGGTGCTGGTCGTAAGAGGACTAAATGGAATCGGGTGGTATCGCTACGTGTTTCACTGCATGTCGTCGTAACCGAAGTTGGTACCAACGACGTTGGGCGTTGCTCATAAGATCAGCCACTAATTTGTCCGGCCGAGACTCGATTATTTACAAGCCGCTGTGATTTTGCTGGAATGCAGAACAACGAGCACAAAAGAAAATGAATCAAGAAGGGATATTTTGTACTTTGGAAACAAGAAGTGGTTATCCGCCATCGTTTATAATCTGATGTTTGTAAATCTCTGAAGTGACGTGTTTAATTTGAAATGTGGGAATGTCTCCTCATTTATACATGCTACATACCTCACTGTGGTTTTTGTCAATGATTCTCCAGTAAGTTGTTCCCCATCTTCCCGAGGCAAGGGAGTTAACTGACTATAAAAGTCCAGTTTCCACCCTTGCCGAACTAGGCTGGTATTGTGGAGTTACATTTTGGCCGGACTAACGAGTCTATGCATAGTCCAATCAAAATCGCGCAACGAAATCGAAATCCGGTTCGTAAACTGTCATGCAGATTTCGGTCGATTGCAGGATTTGCAAAGCATATTATATAACAGATATTTTCCAAATCTTTTCATGTTTTTGATCAAGGTGCTCACGTGATTTGATGCATTTCGCGATGTAAGACCCGTTTTATCACAATATAGATCTTGATTATCGAGAGCAGATCGTCCTGACTTGGCGCCGCCATTTTGTTTAAAGCAAACGCAAGTGATACGAGAGGTGGAATCTGATTGGTCCATAGGAGAACCTTAAAAATGACATAACTGGTAATAGCCACTGCTGGCGCTACGATCGACCCGAGTAATTCAAGCCTAGTTCGGCAAGGGTGGAAACTGGACTTTTAAAGTCAGTTAACACACTTGCCTCGGGAAGATGGTTGTTCCCATGACTCAGTATGTATATGTGTCAGTGGTGTGTGTGAGGTGAAGTTCGTGGTTCTGTTTGTTTGTTTGTTTGTTTGTTGTTTAACGCCGCACTCAGCAATATTCCAGCTATATGGCGGCGATCTGTAAGTCATCGAGTCTGAACCTGACAATCCAGTGATTGACATCATGAGCATCGATCCCCGCAATTGGGATACGTTGCATCAACCAAGTCAGCGAGCCTGTCCACCCGATTCTGTTTGTCGCCTCTAACGACAAGCACTGTCGCCTTTTAACGGCAAGAGTCATAACAATAGAGTTGTTGCTGAGACATACAATCATAGCAGTAGAGTTGTTGCTGAGACACTGAATCATAGCAGTAGAGTTGTTGCTGAGACATAGAATCACGGCAGTAGAGTTGTTGCTGAGACACTGAATCATAGCAGTAGAGTTGTTGTTGAGACATAGAATCACAGCAGTAAAGTTGTTCCTGAGACATAGAATCACAGCAGTAGAGTTGTTGCTTAGACATAGAATCATAGCAGTAGAGTTGTTGCTGAGACATAGAATCATAGCATGGAGTTGTTGCTGAGACATAGAATCACAGCAGTAGAGTTGTTGCTTAGACATAGAATCATAGCAGTAGAGTTGTTGCTGAGACACTGAATCATAGCAGTAGAGTTGTTGCTGAGACATAGAATCACGGCAGAAGAGTTGTTGCTGAGACATAGAATCACAGCAGTAGAGTTGTTGCTGAGACATAGAATCACAGCAGTAGAGTTGTTGCTTAGACATAGAACCACAGCAGTAGAGTTGTTGCTTAGACATAGAATCATAGCAGTAGAGTTGTTGCTGAGACACTGAATCATAGCAGTAGAGTTGTTGCTTAGACATAGAATCATAGCATGGAGTTGTTGCTGAGACATAGAATCACAGCAGTAGAGTTGTTGCTTAGACATAGAATCATAGCAGTAGAGTTGTTGCTGAGACATAGAATCATAGCATGGAGTTGTTGCTGAGACATAGAATCACAGCAGTAGAGTTGATGCTTAGACATAGAATCATAGCAGTAGAGTTGTTGCTGAGACATAGAATCATAGCATGGAGTTGTTGCTGAGACATAGAATCACAGCAGTAGAGTTGATGCTTAGACATAGAATCATAGCAGTAGAGTTGTTGCTGAGACACTGAATCATAGCAGTAGAGTTGTTGCTGAGACATAGAATCACGGCAGTAGAGTTGTTGCTGAGACATAGAATCACAGCAGTAGAGTTGTTGTTGAGACATAGAATCACAGCAGTAGAGTTGTTGCTTAGACATAGAACCACAGCAGTAGAGTTGTTGCTTAGACATAGAATCATAGCAGTAGAGTTGTTGCTGAGACACTGAATCATAGCAGTAGAGTTGTTGCTTAGACATAGAATCATAGCATGGAGTTGTTGCTGAGACATAGAATCACAGCAGTAGAGTTGTTGCTTAGACATAGAATCATAGCAGTAGAGTTGTTGCTGAGACATAGAATCATAGCATGGAGTTGTTGCTGAGACATAGAATCACAGCAGTAGAGTTGATGCTTAGACATAGAATCATAGCAGTAGAGTTGTTGCTGAGACACTGAATCATAGCAGTAGAGTTGTTGCTGAGACATAGAATCACGGCAGTAGAGTTGTTGCTGAGACATAGAATCACAGCAGTAGAGTTGTTGCTGAGACACTGAATCACAGCAGTAGAGTTGTTGCTTAGACATAGAATCACAGCAGTAGAGTTGTTGCTTAGACATAGAATCATAGCAGTAGAGTTGTTGCTGAGACACTGAATCACAGCAGTAGAGTTGTTGCTGAGACATAGAATCATAGCATGGAGTTGTTGCTGAGACATAGAATCACAGCAGTAGAGTTGTTGCTTAGACATAGAATCATAGCAGTAGAGTTGTTGCTGAGGCATAGAATCACAGCAGTAGAGTTGTTGCTGAAGCATAGAATCACAGCAGGAGAGTTGTTGCTGAGACATAGAATCACGGCAGTAGAGTTGTTGCTGAGACATAGAATCACAGCAGTAGAGTTGTTGCTGAGACATAGAATCATAGCAGTAGAGTTGTTGCTGAGACACTGAATCATAGCAGTAGAGTTGTTGCTGAGACATAGAATCACGGCAGTAGAGTTGTTGCTGAGACATAGAATCATAGCAGTAGAGTTGTTGTTGAGACATAGAATCACAGCAGTAGAGTTGTTCCTGAGACATAGAATCACAGCAGTAGAGTTGTTGCTGAGGCATAGAATCACAGCAGTAGAGATGTTGCTGAGGCATAGAATCACAGCAGTAGAGTTGTTGCTGAGACATAGAATCACAGCAGTAGAGTTGTTCCTGAGACATAGAATCACAGCAGTAGAGTTGTTGCTGAGACATAGAATCATAGCAGTAGAGTTGTTGCTGAGACATAGAATAACAGCACTAGAGTTGTTGCTGAGGCATAGAATCATAGCAGTAGGGTGTTGCTGAGACATAGAATCATAGCAGTAGAGTTGTTGTTGAGACATAGAATCACAGCAGTAGAGACGTTCCTGAGACATAGAATCACAGCAGTAGAGTTGTTGCTTAGACATAGAATCATAGCAGTAGAGTTGTTGCTGAGACACTGAATCATAGCAGTAGAGTTGTTGCTTAGACATAGAATCATAGCATGGAGTTGTTGCTGAGACATAGAATCACAGCAGTAGAGTTGTTGCTGAGACATAGAATCATAGCAGTAGAGTTGTTGCTGAGACACTGAATCATAGCAGTAGAGTTGTTGCTGAGACATAGAATCATAGCAGTAGACTTGTTGCTGAGACATAGAATCACGGCAGTAGAGTTGTTGCTTAGACATCAAATCACAGCAGTAGAGTTGTTGCTGAGACACTGAATCATAGCAGTTGACTTGTTGCTGAGACATAGAATCACGGCAGTAGAGTTGTTGCTGAGACCTAGAATCACAGCAGTAGAGTTGTTGCTGAGACATAGAATCATAGCAGTAAAGTTGTTGCTGAGACATAGAATCACAGCAGTAGAGTTGTTGCTGAGACATAGAATCATAGCAGTAGAGTTGTTGCTGAGACATAGAATAACAGCACTAGAGTTGTTGCTGAGGCATAGAATCATAGCAGTAGAGTTGTTGCTGAGACATAGAATCATAGCAGTAGAGTTGTTGCTGAGGCATAGAATCATAGCAGTAGAGTTGTTGCTGAGACATAGAATCACAACAGTATAGTTGTTGCTGAAGATTTTTTTTTGAGATACCCAGATTATTAACCTTTGTTTGTCAGCGCTGTGCACGTACTTGTATAGGCTTCACCAAAGTGGTAAATGAGGTAAGTTTTTTCCACGCCGTGCAGCAGTGTCCAAAGCAGCGCACACCACAACTCACTCCCTCTCTCACTTACTTATTACTGAAGCATCACTGTGATACTGGCCGTGATATATGCTTTAGTCCCCGAGATCTGTCGCGTTATAATCGCGATAAGGTTGAGATAGCGCTGATACTTGCCTTCAGCCAACAGCTCGAGGCTACTACCCCAGAGAGGGCCCGGAGCTGGGCAGTTGATAGTCCTCCTATCACTGCCGATATTTTATGAGTGAAACCCTTAATCACGACCAATTAGAAGTAGATTTCTAATTTAACATCCACGAATACATATTTATATATGTTTTATTTTTCATATATTTTCATATATATATTTTTCAAAATTGGCGACTTGCAGTGTAACAATGGAGTTTTATTGTTATTTTCATTGAATAATATATCACGTGACTAACCACGGGTCCAGGTAGTCCTGTGGACTTTATATGTATGAATAAAGATAAAACTTCAGTTAACTTCAGTTTATGCATGACGTGTATCTAAATACATTTTGCCAGGGCTACGGTCAAACTATTCCCAGTAGGACATTTGTACCTATCTCTTGAGACCTACAGCGGGTACCCGGGTAGGGTCAGGTAAAAGGGGGTGAGTACCTGGGCAGTAAATTTGGACTCGTCCCAGTCCTATTGTGATAAGTAAACGTATGCAGAGCACTGTTATCAAGACTACGCTAAAACCAGTGACTGCTCTTGCTAGACCTGTCCTGCCACAGCTGGCACCCCCTCCACACACACAATCCAAACACACAACACGTCAGTCACCACACTACGGCACAGCTTGGAACTGTATTTCATTGTACCTCCGCGCGATTAGTGAATTTTGATTGACTCGGTTTCCACAATTCTGGCATCCAGAGTTGACTGGATTCAACCTAAAATAACCAGGATAACTTAGGGCAGTATCCGAAATAGAACGCATAAAATGCAACCCTAGATCTGATGGCTGCAGGGAGACGGAGAAGGGCTTCATCATGTGCTATAACTCACAACTATGAGAGGTAAACAAGGTGTTCATTGTTTGACAAAGCTGCCATTGTACCTTTTCTATTTAATGCATATAAAATGACAAGAAACTTCATATTTACGCTTCTAAAATCAACCGACGTGCAAAATCAAAGTTGCATTATATGTTCTAAAGTATCAACAATCGAAAATTGAATTTCCATAACGCATATCAGAATAAACATACCCTATTTATACCTAGTTATTTACATTAACTTGACTTATACCTTGGTCAACACGGATTAACGTGGGTTTTCAAATCGAACGCAAGCAGTGAAAGCGCTGCTTATGGCCCTGTCACACTTCAACGTTTTAGAGTAACTTGCACCTAGCGTGTAAAAGACAGTTAGTACGCTGTCATACGTCGAGCTTTCATCGAAAAACCATGATGTTGGCGATTACATAACGAGAGTTTACCGTATATGTGACGCATATCTTACGTATAACGTCGCGTCCAAGATTATTGCACTTATATAGCGACGTGCATGTACGTGTGTGTGTTTGTGGCTGCTTGTACTATTCCGGACTGATGCCGATTTATAGTGCTAGCTCACTGAGATACCATGCCGCAGTTTAACATGAATACCCCACTCAGACACAGTATACTGACTCCGAGCCGACCAGTCCTTGTTTTAGCCCCTTAATGTCGAGCGCCAGACAGGGTAACAACAAGTACCATCTACTAACGTCTTTTGGTATGACGCGGCTGGGGATCGAACTCCGGATCTTCCCCTCTCCGGGCGGACGCTCTACCACTAGACCACGGAGGCGGTCTTACGTATTAGTAGTGTATCACGGACTTATACATAACTTCTGACAGCGTATAAAAGCGTATTGCCAGCGTAAACCTATGTAGAGCGTACCTCTAACGTATGCCTAACGTATAATTCATACCTTCATACGTTCCCATACGCCGAAATTGTTGTGCATGCACAAAAAATTTTTTAAGCCTCGGCGTACTGCAACGTGCTTTTAACGCATACAAATTACACCTAACTTATCCACAGCGTGTCTCTTCGACGTTATAATTACTGCTGTACGTTGTAGTGTGACAGGGGCATTTCTGGTGAATCAGATGAGTGCACTGCCTTGTTGACAACAGCTCTGACACTTGCGGGCTAAATATGCACAGAAAGGCCAAGCGACTGTTCCCGTTCTCAATGCCACACTCACCTAAATTGACGTAATTAAGTCTTACTGCGCGTGGGTAATTCTAAAGCGTCAAAAAACATTCACAATACCGAGGCAGGTGTAATCAAATATTGAATAAGCACATATATAGCACGACACTGGTTACTTTCCAGTGTTACCACTTTCTTTCATTTCTACCCTGAGCGAAATGGTAGGAGGGTGTCAACTAAAGTAATCATTTACATATTCTCCACGTGGAATCAACAACGCCCATGGGGGGATAAAATGCATGTTATTGTATTCACGCAGAGAAAGTGACAAGGAAAGGTTTACGGTTTAGCCAGCAATGTATGACAGGTGTGAGCCACACCGCAGCTCCGGAAGAGCGAAGGTACACCTGTACTCAACCTCCTCTCTGCTGAGGGCGACTGAAATCGCCGTTGACGTCTCGGTGCATGTATGGAGGAAGGCCGCCAGACCTGTCTGTTCACAACCGTGTCTCACACAGCCTTGGGATCCAACCTCGTCCCGCGAGGCAAGCCGAATCAACACCGCGGTCCATACAACATCTGGTTGACGAAGCCTACAATATGGCGGACCCGACTCATGCTGTCATCGGCATTGGTAAGTTCCACTGATGTCTACATGTTCTTTGACGATGGATGGTCACGCACAACCAGATGCACTCAAAATGCTAGAATACCCACACGTGATGCTAGAGCCTTTAACGGCTAGAGTACGTCAACTGTCTATTGATTTTGTCCATGATTGTACCTAGGTTTATACACAGCATGTTGTTACAATAACTGGCGTATTGCGTTTCGTCATGTTGAAGAAGCAGTATGCCTCTCATTTCCTTTGCTCACAGATCTTGAATGGATTTCCTGAAGACGGTTAATTGTATGTACATTATAATGAATTAATGAAAAATACATGAGTTATTTACATCATAAAAACATGTTTATACTTTTATGCAAGGCCCACATAGGCCGATGAGACACTATACACTAAAACATTTATTACATATTTTCTATTTTTTAACATAATTATAACATGTACCGTTAGTGTAAAAAATAGAACTTTAGTAAAAAATACTTGTTTAAACAACGTTTTAAAAGTGTTTCCGCCAGGCATACATTTTTAAACACATTTTACTAAGTCGGCGATATCTGGGGCATTTTGCATTAATATTATAATTTTTGCATCTTGTGTATTATTGACAAAAGCAGGATTATTTAATATATATAATTCATTGTGTATACCTATTAGACATCGTAGTTTGTGCCTAAAACGAATACATACGATTATATACAATGTTATCACAACAACTCATCATTGAGCGAGTCTAAGTCAGGTGTTAGATGATAAGAACATTAATGGAATCGACGGCCCTGTTTACGACTGTGAATATTTTATTGTAGATAGAGAATTGTCGATATATTTATATCGTCCCTGGTCGCCTTGATAGATAGGACGGCGGCTGCATCCCTGCCGCCATGCTGTTTAATGTATACAGGTAGACAGTCCACCTGTTTCTAAGTCAACAGGGCTTTTAGTCCAGCATTAACACCTGGATTGGTTTTCATTTTATCTGAAATGGCATTCCAGTTATGAATAATGTATCTAGCTTGGCCAATAACCTGCTCGAGCCGGCGTAACCCGATATACTGCTATAAAATATGTCGTATCATTAATCTAAACATTTGCCATATTGTTCTGTTGAAAGTCATTACAGTACTACAATTTCTCTAAATAATAAATGATCGTACAAATATCCAGTTAACATGCATTTTTATTAAATAGATACATATGGGCTTGTTTAGTGGTCGCATAAAAGAAGAATGCAGATTTTATTTTTCCGAATCATATACGACCCAGCAAGCCATGTTCGCTGAAGCAGAACATGCTGTTTGACGCTTTAATCACCTTAAATGTCGCTTCCGGGTATGTCAACAAATTGTCAAGATAATGCGTTTCTGTGGAGATTGAGATGAATGAAACGAACATCTGAAAAGCTATATTATGTAGGCTAATTTATCTCTCTCTCTTTCCGTTTTAAATATTTCTACTTAATATTATTACTGAACAGATATAAATTGCATTCAGGAAAAAAAGGCCCCAAAAGGTTTAAGTCCTGGAGCTACGTCGAATGACGTAAGATTACACTAGGGTTCTCTCCTGGGGAGAGGCGCTCGACGTTATACCTGTATGTATGTATGTGTGTGCACATGGCATATGTTTCACCTGCGTGACGTGGACAGATCGCACATTGAGCTCACAGCTCGTCCGGTCGAGTCATTACTGTAAACTTGATGTTTGTCTGGCCAGCTGTTAAACACGGGACCTCTACCTTGGCTGACACTTGGGTTATGATGCTGTACAAGTTGATGGTAAGTCCCTTTGTCACTAGCCTGACCTTAGTCGCATACAAGCTGTAGGATATGCCTGACCTTAGTCGCATACAGGCTGTAGGATCTGCCTGCCCTTAGTCGCATACAGGCTGTAGGAATGCCTTACCTTAGTCTGATACAGGCTGTAGGAACTACCTGACCTTAGTCTCATACAGGCTGTAGGATCTGCCTGACCTTAGTCGCATACAGGTTGTAGGATCTGCCTGACCTTAGTCGCATACAGGTTGTAGGATCTGCCTGACCTTAGTCGCATACAAGCTGTAGGATCTGCCTGACCTTAGTCGCATACAGGTTGTAGGATCTGGCTGACCTTATCCTCACGTAGGCTGTAGGATCTGCCTGACCTTAGTCGCATACAAGCTGTAGGATCTGCCTGATCTTAGTCTCATACAGGCTGTAGGATCTGGCTGACCTTAGTATCATACAGGCTGTAGGATCTGCCTGACCTTAGTCGCATACAAGCTGTAGGAATGCCTGACCTCAGTCTGATACAGGCTGTAGGAATGCCTGACCTTAGTCGCACACAGGCTGTAGGATCTGCCTGACCTTAGCCTCATACAGACTGTAGGAATGCCTGATCTTAGCCTCGTGCAGACTGTAGGATCTGCTTTGGTTTAACCTCGTACAGGCTGTCGGAATTTCTGAGGCTGTATGATCTATCTCAGCTCAGCCTCGTACATGCTGTATGAATGCCCGAGCCTTGCCTTATGCAGGCTGCTTCAGCTTGGCTAGAAGTATCTGCATAGTATAATAGTAGAAAGGGGATTTTGACGGCGGTAATCAATGGTTCAAGATGTAATATGGCAACGTAGCTCAATACAGAATGGTAGAAGACGTATACATGACATTCTATTGCGACGGGTAAAATGAATTTATGTATAATTCACGAACCCCATAAATATCTAAAAAATGTTTTGAAATATTTTCACCTGTTACATTACTCATAATTACACTTACAAATAGCTTGCCACCAACGCGGAGTCCACATCTGCTCATTGGGGGTAATTACTTATTGATTTTACCTTCAAGGACACAGAATCGGCCAGTGTGTATTCTGTTTCATAAATTGACTGCACAAGTGGATCTGATGTATGCTCGTCCAGTGAACACTAATGACAACGTGGGGTCGGGGTCGGGGTCGGTGGGGTAGCCTAGTGGTAAAAGCGTTCGCTACTGACAAATTAGAGAGTGTACCATGTGTCTGTTCTGAGGGGCATCAGTTCTCATTCACCTCAGGGCAAAGGACCCGGGTTCGATTCCCTACATGGGTACAATGTGTGAAGCCCATTTCTGGTGTCCCCCGCCGTGACATTGCTGGAATAGTGCTTAAAGCGGCGTAAAACCATACTCACTCACTTTTGACAACGCGACAATGTCCCTTCTAGGATTTCATACTCTTGAGCTGGTCACACAATAAGCATCGATTATGATCAGACCGCCGTCATATACCTGGAATGTTGCTGAGTGCGTCGTTAAAAAACAAACAAACAAACAAAACATGAATGAAGATCCACATTTCTCATGGCGGTATGAGACGTTCGCCGTATAACATAGCCAACTCTATTGTCAAGCCATGTGTTCGCAGAAGGGACCAGCTGGAGGCGATTACAAATAATCAAAATGCTCACTGAAACAAAATTAAAGAAACATTCCTAATCAATATTTTTCATTAAACGTTATTCTTTGTCACCAGAATTGACACCAGTATCTGGGAATTAAAACAGAAATTTCAAAGAATCGCCCCGTACACATGCCTCGATATACGGTCAGGGCAGCCAGACTGGCACATGTTTGTTTCCCCAGTGGGGTGGGTACACACTGCAGTCATTAAACCTGACAGGGCGATCCTCTACTCGAAGTGATCATTACGATACTGGTTCCCAAAGGTAAACAAAGAAACTGTTATTAGAAATGGTGCAACTTTTATATACCATGCTATGAATGTTAGACTCCAAACACTAAGCCTATAAATGTAATGATGGACCAAATATTGTACCATGGGCCGCTGGCCTACACATGTACATGAATAAAGAATTGAAGATACTGGTTCCCATTAATACTATCCCGGCAGGCATGCGACAAGGCTGTATACTGAGCTCGTTTCCTTTTTTTATTCTTGATCAATAACTTTCTAAATGGTATTGTATGTGATGGAAACTATGCTCAGCTGTTTCCGAATATTATTGAAATTCAATGCTGTTATGGCTGATGATGTCTTCGAAGTTACTGATTTGATTATTTAATTGCAAATGATGTTTGAATCATGCACACACGACGTACTTTTGACCCCACTTCCGGGTGTTAGCTACGGTTATTGCTTCAGCTGTATACGTGGCGTATTCTTGAACCCACTTCCCGGTGAGAGTTACGGTTATTGCTTCAGCTGTATACGTGACGTACTCTTAACTCCACTTACGGGTGCGAGCTACGGTTATCGCTTCAGCTGTATACGTGACGTACTCTTAACTCCACTTCCCGGTGAGAGTTACGGTTATTGCTTCAGCTGTATACGTGACGTATTCTTGAACCCACTTCCCGGTGAGAGTTACGGTTATTGCTTCAGCTGTATACGTGACGTACTCTTAACTCCACTTCCCGATGGGGGTTACGGTTATTGCTTCAGCTGTATACGTGACGTACTCTTAACTCCACTTCCCGATTGGGGGTTACGGTTATTGCTTCAGCTGTATACGTGACGTACTCTTAACTCCACTTCCCGGTGGGGGTTACGGTTATTGCTTCAGCTGTATATGTGACGTACTCTTAACCTCACTTACGGGTGTGAGCTACTGTTATTGCTTCAGCTGTGTACGTGACGTACTTTTAACTCCACTTACGGGTGCGAGCTACGTTTATTGCCTTAGTTGTATACGTGACAATCTCTTAACTCCACTTCCCGATGGGGGTTACGGTTATTGCTTCAGCTGTATACGTGACGTACTCTTAACTCCACTTCCCGGTGGGGGTTACGGTTATTGCTTCAGCTGTATATGTAACGTACTCTTAACCCCACTTCCGAGTGTGAGCTACTGTTATTGCTTGAGCTGTGTACGTGACGTACTCTTAACCCCACTTCCGAGTGTGAGCTACTGTTATTGCTTGAGCTGTGTACGTGACGTACTCTTAACCCCACTTCCGAGTGTGAGCTACGGTTATTGCTTGAGCTGTATATGTGACGTACTCTTAACTCAACTTCCGAGTGCGAGCTACGGT